TTAGCAACTATTGGCCCTATAAATACACTCCTGTCTGTTTCTCACATTTACTTATAACTCAAGCAAGAAGGAGGATTAATACAAAATATAGACTGAAGGTAGAACACCAGCTTTGTATGCAAATTGATTTTTAAAATGATAGTTACATGAAAGAGAATGAAAAATGAAGAGTTGGCCTTTTTCTGTGAGTTGGAATATTCTTGCTGTGTTCTGCTCATCTCCAGATTTGAGTTTGCCCTTCTGACAATAGGAAAGGCTTGGGCTGTGGAAAGGAAAAGCAACTTTTTGACTTTCTGACTGTAAGAACAGCAAGATTCAAGTTTTGCAGAAATTTTTAGAGGCTTCCTGGCTTTGGAATAGAGAAAGTGAGAATTTTATCAAAATATCTCCATTTGGTACTATGATAGTTTTAATTTTTGGTTCAATGCCCAGATATGTTTTGTTTAAAAAATACTGTTCCCAAATTTCTACCAAACTGTAGTGCACAGCCTGCGTCCTGCTGTTTTCAAGCCTTTTCTGAAACAAGGTACAGTGACTTTGAAGTCAGTGCAGGATTTTAGAAATAGTTCCTTATGTGTATTTGCCTGTAGTCTGTGTTTTGATATGAAAGGACGCTCACAAGCTCTTGCTGGAAGAGGTTCAAGAGTGCATGAAAGTACTGAATTTCACTGCCCTGGGAACAAGGTGAATGTTATAGTTTAAACAGATTCATTAGGAGGTCAGTACTTGGGTAAGCTCTTAACAAGAGCTCTTGATGCTTAGGATCTTTAGAAAGCTGTAGTAATTCCTACCTAGGTGCTTAAATATAGATTTGAGAGTTAACACTAGGCAACAAGATTTGTATAATGAGACCTAGCTGCACATATGTTTGGAGGCTTCTGGGACTGCTCAAGGCAAATTATGAGAGTCCAAGTGACAGGACTTTATGTGTGGGGATTTTTGGGGTGTACACTGCTTGGTAATAGGCTTTGCTACTTTTTAAAACATTGCTTACAGATTAGTCACTTTCAAGCATGAAAATTCCCCATTTCTTTTGAATCCCAAAGGATAAAAGCTGTCTGCTGTTCAGAGTGGAGCCAATGTTGCAGCTATTGATTCCCACTCTGGAGTCATTTGGGCTTTTATTGGGATGATTGATTTTCCCCTACTTGTAACTGGTTAGGTGGTGCCATGTGGTAACTTAACGTGCTCAGCATTAGCATCTGTGCTAGGTAAAATAGCATTTGTTACATTCTGCACTCTTCCATTTCTATCTTTGTGCATGAAGCTGAGGTCTTGTAATGTGCTGCTAATGCTGTGCTTCCCTGAAAAGGAAAGTTGTCTGGCTTTGGCGGGGAGCTGGGGTTGACACTGCCCTGAGAAGAACAAGAAGATGGAGCAGACTGGCCCAGAGCCATAACTGTGGGGAACGTTTCCCATGTGCAATTTTGGGGTGACAGTTCTTCCTCTGAGGTGACTAAATGGGTGCACAGCAGGAGGATGTTTTGTTGAGTGGAGATGGCTGTGTTACCGGGAAGTTGCAGGCAAAGGCTTAAGAGGTTCATAGCTGGAGGCAGGGTTGCTGTTGTTAGCGCTGTGAATGGTGGTCATGGCTTGCCCAGCCTACATGCTGCATTGTGTAGTCTTCTCCCACGCTTTCTGTTATGTCCAAGTAGTCTCCATTTTCCACCTGTCTGGTGCTACTCCAGCAGTTCCAGAGGGTCTCTGGCCATCTTGGAGGAGATGGAGCATTTGCTCCCTAGATGGTAGTAAGAAAAAGCTGGAAGAACAGTTGTATGGTTGGATTGTGAGGCTGTCTGTGCTGGGATTCCAGCTCTATGGTGTTATCCCTGCTAAGCAATTTCACTGCAGCGTTATTGTGGGCTGTGCCTAACAGGAGGCTTGCACTCCTTGAACACTTACTTGAGCACTGGAAGAAAGCAGGCAGTGGCTTAAGTTAACCTTTTGGACTTGGCAAGAGGGGTTAAAATGAATGGGGTGAATATGGAGGAAAATCTTGCACAGGTTTCCATACAGCAGGCAGTTGTTGCTTAACCCATGTATTTTTAGATGAACAGGAGCATCAGAGGAGTCCTTGAGTGCTACTTAGGTCCATTTTTTTTCAGCACTTTCAGACATAATAAAATTTCAGCATGAAAAGAAGACCTCATCAGAAGCTTGTGCTTTGAGAACCCTGAAGTGGCAGTTGTGTAAGAATGGCCTCACTCAAAGTATTGCTTTCAGTGAGGATTTAAGAGTAAATAGTCTTGGTTTAGCTGGTCTTGTGAGGATCACTTAAAATTATGTTTGTGGACTGAGAACAATGACTTCTGAGGCTGCAGGATTCTGGTTTTCACTGCACTTTGGAAAGTCCAGCTGCCTCTGTGCTAGTGTCCAGCAGGACATGGCAAGGGTGTAAATCCCACCCTGCCCAGTGGCTGTGGCATTTTGGTCTCAGGATCTCCACAAGATGTCAGTGTAGATTTATTGGATTAGATATAAAAATCCTTGTGTTGTTCCCTCTAATAGATTAAAGCAAAAACTGTTCTAAAGCTGCACAATGGGTTTGATTGTGCTCTGGAACGTGTTGCCTGCTGGAAGATTGAAGTGGCCAGCGCTGGCGTCGAGGGAGGAGGGTGAGTGTCACCCTGAAATGGGAGCAGAGCTCTTGGCTGAAACTGGCAGTCCTTTGCTCTCATCAGCGTGCCCTTATTCCCTTGGAGACAAGCTGCAGATGCACTCGTGCTGTATATTTTACTCAAAGAAGAGCTGGAAACCTGAAGAAAAACCAGAAGGGCCATCCAGGGTGGGAGGAAGGATGTGATGATGGTTGAATCAAGTCACATACTGGAGAAGCGTAACTGCTGGCTGGATGGTATCCAAAGCTTGCTTGATTTCTTTCCGTATGAAAAGCGGACTTGCAATGTCCAGTGAGCTGCAAGGGACTGAGGCATAACATCCAGCCGAAGGGAGTTCCCCTTGACCATTTACTTCTTCTGCACAGTGGTCCCAGGCATAGCATCGACGTGTTTGAGAGCCAGCCAGCTCCCCTCTCTTCTCCCTTGAAGCGCCTGGTATTTTATTCCCATTTTCCCAATGAAAGCCAAATGCAATGCAGCCCCCCCGCCTCTCCTTGCGGCCGGGGCTGCGGTCCCCGCCCCAGCGCGGGGCTGGCGTGGGTGGCCCCGCTGCCAGCGGAGCGCTCGGGAGCCGCGGGAGCCGCCGGGCGGTGATTCCCTGCCGGCCGCTGCACCCTGCCACCCGCCAGGGAGGGAGAAAAAGGTGACGGTGTTTGTCAGCGGTGGCAGGAATAGCCACGTTCCCGATTGCACTGGGGAAGTGGGGAGTTGAGGGGGGGAGACCACTGCGGCGCTCAGCCCTGGCCCCAGAGTGCCGCGTAGCCAGGTGGTGGCGAAAGTCGCGCCTCATCTTCCATGCGGGCGAGCACTCGCCTGCCTAAATTTGAGGGGATGCCAGCCGCTCCTAGCATTTGCATTGTGCAGATCAGGTAGGGATGGGGATGCAGAGTCCTTCTTTCCTTGATGTGTCCTCTCAGCTCACCTTGGGGATGGCTGAGATGACTTTCTGGGGCCAGGGGATTCCCGAGGAAGCACTTGTGATTTCTTGTCCTCTGTGCTACAACAATTGCAGGGCTCCACTTGACCCTTGGCCTCACTGGAGAATTATTCTTATTTTGTTGATGGCTAAGCAATTTTGCCTGTTCAAGGGCTGGACTCTTCCTGCTGCTTGTTCCTGGCTGGGATGGGCTCCTGGCCTGCCCAGGGTGCTCTGCAAAAGCTGGGCAGTTTTCAAAGATGGGATAATATTTTTTGAAGTAATTTTTGAAATAGAATAGAGCCTGTTGCTCAGAATCACAGCAGCCACATGGGATAAGCGAAAAGGTGCGAATAAAACAGCCACTAAGATTTAAGGGCAAAGCTGTGATCTTGTTCCTCAGGTTGGTGATTACCCCCTGAAATCAATGGGATTGCTCAAGCAAGTTACCATTTTAAACCTGACAAGGCTTTACTCTGAACTTACCCTAAGCCCATCTGGTGAGGAAATATTTACTTAGTGCTTTCCAGTGGGAAGAAGGGAACTGGAGACACACATCAGTTGCTCCTGAAAACCTTCCAGTCTCTTAGACTGGGGCTTATTCCATTATGTATATATTACGTATGGTAGCAGCAGGTGCAAAATTATTTTATAAAGCTGGATTTAAAACCCACAAGTTATAAGAAATAAAGTGAAAAAATAAAAGGAAAAGGTAGAAAATAAAATATAAAGCATTTTTCAAATTTATCCTAATTTTAAGTTGAAAATGAATATTGCTCCAGTGTTGCTATAAGTGTAATCTGCTCAAAAGGCCCTGTTATCATAGATCTTAATACACTGGGAGACATTGTTTGAATGAAATTATTAGAAGTTACTTTCCCTCCCGTTCTCTCCTGAAAGCAATTTAATGTTTTTTTTCAAGAAAGGTTGTTTTAGGACAGTCACAAGATATCCAGGCCTCAGTGTGGCAGTGCTCTAACAGATTGGCAGCGATACTGAGCAGCAATATCCAGACACGGATTGTGCCGGTGTCATGGGGGTGTAAATCCGAGTTTCCGATTGCTTCAAAATCAGGAGCAGCTGCCAGGCACAGGAAAGGTTGCTTGCCTGAATTCAGGGCTGCAGCCGAACTGGTTCCTCTGCCACTGCAAGCCATGGGACTCGCGGAGTGGCAGAGAGGGATGGAAGCTGCCTAAAGCCACTCAAGGCACCCTGTGGCTGGTGGGGCTGCCATGGGTCCTGCCAGGACACAGCGGGGAGAAGAGCACTTCCCGGTGCTCTGCAGTGGCCAGCTGTCCTCCTCCCTCTCTTCCAGACCTGGAACATCTCCTGCTCTTTGGTAAGTGCCTTCTGCAGGTGCTTTAAAAGCTGCTGTTAAGTTTCCCAGCTTCTCTTCTCCTCCTCCACAGAGAAAGGATCCTAATCTCATGGGTGTTTGCAAATGTGAAAAATTAAGCTAAGGCTGCTTCCCCTGCCTAATAATTTTTTGAAATTTGGTGAAACAAGCTTGGCTGTTCCTTTAGGTTCCTGCTGTGCCTCTTCTGCTTGCCCAGAGCGCAGTGCTGCTGGTTATCCCTCCCTCATGGAAGCCACGGAGGCCTGACCCTGTGTGCTGGCTGCTGTTAATGTTACTGACTCCAGCACCAGCTCCCATGAAAGCCAGGCTGGGGCCCCCCTGCAGGAAGATCCCTACTGGAGGAGACTCTGTGGCCGTGCATCTGACAAGGAGAGATGTTGGATATGCCTTCTCCCAGGCTGCGCTGAGTCCCTGGGTACGTGTGTACCGTGAAATCTGTGGCTTTGGTGTGAACCTAACTGACACCCCAGGCAGTTTTCCTGCAACATGGTGATAATAGGACTAACCAAAACCGTAGCTCAAACACCCAGCTCAGATGTTTTTCCTCTGTGAACCAAGGGGCTGGGAATGGCTGGCTTTCCAAAGCCTTGGCCTGTGCTGTGTTGCACCATGGATCATTTTCATCATGGAAAAGTGATGGATAAGAAGAGAGGGAGCAGGCCCTGTGATTTTGACCTGGCTTGTTTCAGTCTGGCATCAGATAGCCAGAGAGGTGGGCTTGGTTGGCTGATGCTTGGCCCACAGTCTCCTCATCCCTGAGCCATGGTGTGCCCAGCTGCACTCCCACAGGCTCAGGACTGAAGTTCTGCAGCTCCTTGTGCCCCAGCTTTTAAAAAATTTTAAAAGAAACTTGGTTTCTTTCTTGGCAGTAGTATTATTTGGAGTTTGAATGAGGCCATGCAAGGCTCATTCCCAATTCTCCACGGACATTAGCAATAACTTGTTCTTTGTCTCTTTTTCTGCAGCACATCCTCCAAATGGTGTTTAATCAGAATCCAAGGTAGGGAGCAGACAGGTTTCACCTCTTTAATCACCACCACTGAAGTATTTCCACCATACTGCAGTGCAGGGGGCAGATTGTTTATCCTTCCTGGAGCCATCTCCACATCTCCTTCAGTTGCCAAGGCACGGTGTTGGTAACAGGAGCAGACTTGGGCATGACCAAGGAGGCCAAAGCTGGAGCTGTTACCTGGTCAGGAGGCTAAGGGGCACATCCCCGGATATCCAGTGCCAGGATACCCAGGATACCCAGTGCCTTGAGACCCAGCAACATCATCTCTGGCCATCATCCAGAGCTGAGGGGTGAACGCTGCAGTTTTCCCTCTCACCCAGCCCTGGGAGAAGCACTGAGACCTGTACGTCAGATCTGCTCCCTCCTCTCCCCAGGTGGAAATGGGGAAGTAAAAACCTTAATCCCTCCTCTCCTGGACACAATGGGAAAGAGAAGCTGTCTTTGCTTTCCACTACCTTGCAGCTGAAAGGAGGAGGAGAAAAGTGAATGTGGAAAGGGAGAAAGGAGAGGCTTTGGGCATGGAGATTCCCCTCAATGACCACTCTGGAGTCTGCTGAAATCTGAAATGGGCACACTTGGGTGGGCAGTCTGCAGTGTGGCACCCCTGCTTGTAGGGAAAGCTTTTTCTGACTCATACAGTAACAGTACAGGGCAATCTGGGAAGGCAACCCAGGGAAAAATCTGTCCCACCTGTGTTTGTGTCAGGGGTGTTGCTGGTTGTTATTTATAACATTTAATTATTATTTTTTAACTTGTCCCAGTTCTTCCCAGGCAGAGAAGGTCATTTCAGCCATTGCCCAGGAAAGAAGATGGTGTTAAACTGGTAGAAAAAGAAAAAAAAAGCTAAATTCCTGTGGGTTTATTTTTTGTTTTCTTTATTTTTTTCTTGGTTTTGCCATTCTCACTTTTGTAAGCACTCCTACATACCTCACACAAATGAGAGTTGAACTTGGCATTTAAAAAAACAAAGGGTGGAGCAGCACAGAAAAATGGAGGTGAGCCTGTGTTAATGATTGGCAAATAAAAACCCAAACATTAAACCGATTTCTTGTCAAAAAGCACCAGGAACGTGTGCCAGGGTGGTGGGCAGAGGGGGCAGGCAGCTGGGCAGGGGAGAACCTGGCAGAGGGAATACCCTTTGCCCACAGCCCCTGCCTGTGTTTGTGTGATGCCTGGCATGGGATGAGAGCCTTTTGGAGAAGGAAAATCAGCCCTTGCTTACAGATGGGATGAGTGTGGGCACCAAACAGGACATGCTGGTTCTGGAGAGGGTCACTTGTGGCAGCAGCTCCAGGTTTATGGCCATGAGTTGCCTCTGCAGTGTGTGAGAATGGTCAGGGACACTGAAAGAGGACCACACCTATGTCCTGTCTGTGGCCTGAGGTTGTCACCATCATATACCTAAGCTGGGAGGAATGGTTACTGCTGTGAAAGGATGCAAAATCAGGCATAAAATGGAAAGAAATTACAATTCTGTGGCAAGTTTCCTCTACTTCTTTTGCTCTCTCTCTATGGTTAAAAAGAAGAAGTTGAGGGGCTTGGGGTCTTCCACAAGTGTTCACCTCAGGCTGTGGGCTCAAAACTTGCCCTATTTAGAGTGCAATTGCCTTACTTTGCTGTGGTCTGGTATAACTGTGATGTGGGATGAACACACTCCTCTGCCCTGGCAGCATGACCCTGCCCAGGAGTAAATGACTGTGGCAGCTGTCAAGTAAATGCAATAAAAAAATTAAATATAGCTGTTAACGCATCTCTTTTTGCTTTGACTCTTATAATTAGGTCAGATAGAGCAGCTACTAATTTGAGTAGTTTCTGTGGTTCCCCTCAGACAGCCTTTTTAGCAGCAGTCCCTAATTTTTAATTGGGCTATGGAAAGACATTACCCTTTTCTGAGCCATTTGCTAGACCTGCTCACCTCCACTGACAGTGATACACAATGTTACTGCACAGAAGCCAAAACCAACAAATCAACAAACAACCCGTGGTCTCTGATAATCCAGGTGACGTAGGTAATAATTTACGGAAGACACTTGCATGCTGGGTTTTTGGTCGTGACAAGCGAGCTGTGACTGTCAGGGTGCATGCTCTGGCCTTTCACAGGAATGGAGATAAAGATTTGAATCTAGGACATCCAGGGCTAGGTCAGCTCAAAGGTCCCTGACAAGGGTTTGTCTCTAGGATGAATGTATGCCCCTTCCATCAAAGGGTCCAACGCAGAGGTAGCTGTGTTGCACCAGGATGCTTGCAGGGGAGTAAGGCTGGCTGTGCCATCCCATGCCACCCTAGAGCTCCTGAATCTCCCAGCTGAACAAGACTCATGATTCATGCATCATGAAATCAAAGGGAGGCAACATAGCTCTCTAATCTGATATATGTGAAGTACAAGCTGGGTGGCTTATTAATTCCAACTAGAGAATGTTTTTTTTGTTTTTCCTTCTTTCAGAAAAAAAACCCCAAAAAACAAGTAAACAAACCAAAAATTTGTGACTTAATGGTTTCCAGCGATGGAGAGTCCACAGCATGACTAAGTTGTTGCAGTGCTTAATTGTGCTGATGAAGACAATGGAGTTACTGTAAACTGAAGTTATACTGCATACAAAATTTGGCCTAGTTACCCGAAAGGAGCAGCACTTTAAAGTCTCTGTATGTCTTTAAATAAAATTATTCTCCAGCAGAAGACACGGAAATTAAAGACTTTTCTTCCAAAGCATACTACAGCAGTCAATCCGTCTCCAGAATACTACTGAGATATTAATGCCAAAGCCAAGTTGCACCCATGTTTAAGACAGTTAATTGGACTTATTTCATACATCAGTCTGTCTGTTGTCGTTAGGGCTATATTGCTGCTGGCTGTGATAACATTTTTATCTGTTAACTTCCAAGCTGCTACGAGTAACACCAGCTACTCATGAAATGAGTCAGCTAACTTTCCTTTTAACTGTTTCTTCTGCTCCCCTGAAGATGTTATGAATGTGTGGTATGACAAGCTGGTCAGCACTCGTTCCTTTAAAGCTTATGTATCAATTTTATTGCCACAGTAGGCTTTCTAAAAAATGGGATCAGAGTCTGCAGCAGCTGGGCAAGATATATTTGCCAGTTCAGTGCAAAGACCTGAGTGAAAAAAAATTGTTTTGATTTATTTAAAAAGCATCTTATTATGGAAATTTGTGCTACAATATCCAGGCTTTTACTCCCACAGGAACAATTCTTACAGGCTATCTGAATTATCCAGAAAGTTGCAAGGCATATTTATACTTAAACTGGATTATAAGGAAATACACTGCAAATCACAGCAACAAATCACTACTAATCACAATCAATCGAGTGATTAAAGCTCTGGAATCTCTCCATTAACATTGCGTTGATGGATGTGAAATTGCATGCAAGTGGCACTGAGGTTCCCCGTGCCAGCCCAATGCTGTGCCTCTCATCCCCCCTCTCACCCAGCATGTTGCAAGGTTTTCCCTTGAAACAATGTCCTGATAAATAGCTTTTCCATCCTGGATGCTATTTTCACAGGAGGACTGAAGACCTTTATCCCAGAGAAAGAAGGAACACTGTACATTGTTGCAGCCTACAAAGATTTTAGCCCCTACAGATTAGTCACACCCTTACTCAGGTAAAATACAGACTAGTTAACTTTTCACAAGAAAAAAAGTCTGTGGTATTCTTCTTCACTTCCTGTGCTTAACTGCTGGGGCTATGGTTGCTACACACATGAAGAACTATACTTTCTCACCCCAAATATGAACAGGGAACTCCAGCTTGATGTTTTCTACATACATTGCAGAAATATTTTGAAATTTTAGAAGTCTCTTAGACTGTGTTTCAGAAGTCTCTGTGTTCCATGTTTCAATAACCTCCTCTGAAAATACTCACAAAGGACAATTCTTTTTTCTAGTCCACAATATTCTACTTATTCCTCAACTCACCGTTTGCTTCACGCTGATCATAAGGTCCATAGCTCCGTGGCACCCAAATGCATAATTTCCCAAGGTCATTTGCTCTTTTTGTTGGGAGAAAACAAGGAATTACACCCCTGAGGATTTTTCCTGGCTACAGGGTGGAGGTGGTTCTGCAGGGACTGCAGAGGAGGGTGACAAGATGTGCTGTGCCCACTGTCAACATCACTGTCTGGGAGCAGAGGGTGATGGATATCCCCGAGTATGTCGCTGACAAATGATGCTGACAGCATCTGAGGAAGGCCCCTAAAATACAATCCTTAATCTGTCTCCTCAGTAGCCCAGAAAGGCTGATGTAGTTGGTGGGATATAAGAGAAATTGAGTACCTCAAAGCCAAAACAGGATATTTTCCATGCCCACTGCACTGGTGTGACCTTGATGTGCACGAGAGAAGACTTTTATTATGTCCCTATGTTTTGCCCTCATCACGACCCACCAAAAGAGAGAAAATGAAGTCCCAGATGACCCATCACCCACCTGCCATGCGCTCTGGGAGACAGGTGTGAATGTCTCCCACCCGCTCTGGGTGGGAGGCAGAAGATGTGCCCACAGACACCGGCACCTGGGAGAGCAGTGATGAAATTGCTGAGTGGTGAATACCTGTTTGTCGTGTTCTGGAATCCTCCCCCACCTACACCCACACTTTGTGTGCCTCTTTCCTGTTTGGAGGGGAGATTATCCCAGCCTGTGAACACTGGGCAGCACGACAGCCGCACAAAGCAGCTCTCCCCATGTAGCAGAGGTGATGGTGAGGATGATGCCCATTGTAAGGAAAGCTGTGCACCACAGGAGCTGCCCCATAAATGCTCTTTTGAAGTCATCTTCTCCAGCTCCTCTGCTGCAATAAAGGGCATCCATGCTGTATGTGCAGCCCTGAGAGCACCACCATCTCGGGTGGGGTTTGCAGCTGCTGAAAGAGACCCCGAAGAGGTGCCAACAGTTCAGGATGTTCCTGTATCCCAGCACAGCAGGGATGTACCTCACAGGCTAGGGGTGGTGACCCAGATCCAGTGCACCCTATCTCCCCAAAGGGTGTTGCTGCAAAGCAAAGCGGCACTTCTTGATGCAATTGCTCCTTCGTGACAGGAATTAGGGAGGTGTGCTTTAATGAAGAGTGGCTTTGGCTTCATCCTGAGTCCCTGTGTGGGAGGATTGCTCTGCTGTGGGCCAGTGCTCTGGGTGGGTTCACCCTGCTCCTCCACAGAGCCAGTGGTTTCGTGAATTACGAGACCACCCCTCTGGGTCTGGCCAAAAGTCCCCTGAAATCACTCCTTGCTGGTGGTGCTGGTGAAGGAGGCAATGATGACCTGGACTGATCCTTGTGCCTTCTGTAGAACAATGGCTAAGGAAACATTTGTGAAGGAAGAAAGTAGTGAGGGGAGAAAAAAAAACCCTGTATTTCTGTCCTATTTTTTGTGGTGACTTCTCATGGTATCAGAATACTTGGGTTGACAGGCCAATATGAGCTGCAGCTGATTCAATTTAGAAGATTTTAACAAGGCAAAAGGGTCAGCTGGCCATGGAGGCTGTTCATCTTCCTCCTATTGTAAATCCTTGGGATGTCTCCCTAGTAGGTTTGCTTGGATTTAATACTCCCTGAAAGCACTCAGGACTGCCTCCACAAGCACTTAATGCGTTTAATGTTCCTCAAGCCTACAGTCCATCCCTACAAATGTGTACAAGGCATGTGCCAGAGTTACAGCTCATGGGGTATCACAGTGCCTCTTATGTCGCATTTCTTTTTTTCATAGTTTTTCTAAGTATTCCCCCATTTTTACCCTCAGCTGGCACTTATTAAGTTGCAGAGGATACTCATCCCTGGCTTCCATCCCAGGTTACTTGAATGGCTGCCTGAGAGCCTTCTGGTTCTTATCTTCACGAGCCCTTGTCTCAGCATATCCCTTCCCTAGGAGAAACCTGTCGTGTGACCCTAGCCTGTTCCTCTATTCCTCTGACCAGTTCCATGGTTTGAATGTTCAAGGCTGTGTTCTGCTTTTCTACCAAATAGCTCACTGCTGGAATGATCCTCTAACTCTCAGCTGACCATGAGATGCTCTGTTCAGCAAAGGTAGGTCTGTCCTTCAAGTCCTTTCATGCTGCCACCCAGGGAAGCATCGCTTTCCAAGTAAGTGTCCTGCTTCTATTGGTGAAGAGTCCTGTTCCTAGTCAAGGTGATGTTTGTGGCACTGGACATAGCTGTTTCCCGAAAAGTCACTCCTGCTCCTGTGTAATATTTCTCTTTCTTACTGTGCAGGTTGTACATGCTCTTCTCCTCAGTAAGAAGAAGCCCTGGTCTGAAGACTCTTGTGAAAAAGTTTTCTTTCTTTTAAGTGGAACAGATCTTTGGAGAGTCAGACACTGATGGTGTGTGTGTCTTTCCATGCCTTTGACAGACTTCCATGCTGTTTTCTGTAAGTTCATCCTTGGTGCCTCTTGCTGTTGTCTCCCTGGACTCTCTCTCTGTATCCCATTCCTGCACACATTGCCTTAAATTAGTTCTTCCTACCTTCATGAAAAGACAAAAAATCTTCTCACATTCCCAAGGTAATTCAACATCCTGGAATCCCTGACTCCTGCTACAGAGTTCTCTCTCTATCCCTTGCCCTGCCTCACCACTTCTCTTTGCCCTGCCTCCACTTCTGATATGAAATCAGCATTCTCTGCTGGTAGGTAAGGTGAGCCCCGCAGAAGAATGGCTGATGAAAACAATTCTGTGTTAAAGTAACAGGGTAGCAGGTGAAGGGAGCAGTCTGGGAGGGGACAAACCTACACCTTGTAGCGCCAGGACCAGCTGACTCCATCTCCAGCTCCTCCAAACAAGAATATTCTGGTGTTCTAAAGGCCATTGGTAATTCTGACTATAATCCATGCAGACTTCAATGTCGTTGTCAGTCTTCTCTCCCTTTCCCAGCCCATTTTCAGGTCAACATGCTCATTTTAAAGTTGCTATTAGGACTTCAACACTGGCATGGCATTTTAAAGTAAATTCAGTAACAGAGGTTGAACAACACTAACAGATTACTAATTTATGTATCTTTTATCAAAGTGAAGCACAAAGATGGTTTTAAATCATAGAATCATAGAATGGTTTTGATTGGAAGGGACCTTAAAGATCCTGTAAACTCACAGCTAAATTTAAATTTGTGTGTTTGATAGTACTGTGTAATAATAGTATTGGTGGTATTAATAAAATACTATTTTTAGTTTTTTATTGTATGTCAAGGGAGGTGATTCTGCCCCTCTACTTCACTCTCAGGAGTGCTGCATCCAGCCCTGGGGTCCTCAGCACAAGTAGGATATGGATCTGTTGGAGTGAGTCCAGAAGAGAACCATGAAGGTGATTAGAACAGGAGTACCTCTCCTAAGGAGACAGACTGAGAGTGGGGGCTGTTCAGGAGAAGAGAAGTCTTCAGGGAGACTCTGGAACACCTTCCAGTACCTGAAGGAGGTTAGAGGAGAGCTGGAAAGGGACATTGAACAGCGGCATGGAATGGTAGGAGAAGAGGTAATGGCTTTAAAATGAATGGAGGTAGATTTGGATTGGATATTACGAAGAAATTTTTTTTTTTCTGTGAAGATGGTGAGGCACTGGCAGGTTGTGCAGAGAAGCTATGAATGCCTCATTCCTGGAAGTGTTCAAGAACATCTTGGATGGAGTTTAGAGCAACCTGGTCTAGTGGAAGGTGTACTTACCCACAGCAGGGGAGTTGGAAC